TTTTTTTTTTTTAAGACAGAGTGTTATTTTATCACCCTCGGTAGAGAGCTGTGGCATCACAGCTCACAGCAACCTCCAACTCTTGGGCTTAGCAATTCTCTTGCCTCAGCCTCACACATAGCTGAGCCTTTAAAACCAGAATACCCAGTGAAAAGTCATCACAGACTCTTATATTTACTTAAAAAAAAAACAAGGGTATTTATTAGAATTGAATTACTCTGTTTTCTCTTCTTTCTAGAGATGTGAGAGACATCTTTCTCGATGATGTCTAGAGATCACATGATGTCTCTCACATCTCTAGAAAGAATAAGTAATTCTCTAGGTGACAGACATCTCTAGAAAGAATAAGTAATATTCTACCAAGCATTGTATTAAACCAAAACAGAAAGATGACTAGCAAAACTGTTTACTACCCCCTAGCCATGCTGAGTGAGACCAACAGCATACCATCTTGGTAGGAGAGATTTTGACAGAAAAACATTTGAGTTTCTACCTACCCAACAGAAAACCTAACAAACTGGTTTATACAGAAAGGATTTTCAGCAAACATGCACAAACACATTTAACATGCTATAAAAACAGGATACTTTTCAGTCAGTTTCTAGCACATAGCATACAATCATCAGTGCCCAGTAAAATAAGAATGAATGCCAACATAGAAAGCATTTTTGCCTACACAGCATAAACAACTAAGCACACAGCATATAATACTTTGATCTTTTTCTTTTTCTTTTTCTTTTTTTTTTTTTTGAGACAAGAGTCTCACTCAAGCTGTCACCCTGGTAGAGTGCCATGGTATCACAGTTCACAGCAACCTCAAACTCTTGGGCTCAAGCAACTCTTTTGCTTCAGTCTCCCATGTAGCTGGGACCTCAGTAGTAAGCAAAATGCCTGGTTATTTTTGTTGTTGTTGTTGTTGTTACTGCTGTTGCAGTTGTCATTGTTGTTTTAGCTGGCCCAGGCTGGATTTGAACCCGCCAGCCTTGATGTACGTGGCCGGTGCCTTACCCACTGAGCTACAGGCATGGCTGAATACTTTGATCTTTAAGTGGGTAATCATGGAAGTTTCCAGATCATGTCGACTAGGTTAGCGTGAGTATTTCATCCATAAAAATATTTTTTCAAAAATAATGCTTAAAAGAGACTTCCAGAAACAGTGGGACTACATTAGGACCAGTAGAAGACATATTGAGACTAGGACTGCAAATGTTAAGACTAGGGAATTGATTTTCACAGGGAGCTTTTAGGTAAGGGACATCTCTTTCTGTTGATTCCTATAGCCAGGACAAGCTGTAATCACAGGAGATTCAGAAATCTCAAGATGGGCAACTAGTGTGAGTAATGCCCTAAATAAATACTCAAAACCCCCAGTGAAGCTGATGGACCAAAACTCTGACCCATGTGAAAAAGAGTTGTGAGTGCACAAAAAATTCATGCAAAGGTTGCTGGGACAAATAGGCCCATGATGGTGGGTTATGCCATACTGTTGATGCACCAACATGTATGCTGGGGAAGTGGTACCCTGGGTGGAATGCCTGACATGCCTGGTCCTGGAGGGTTAGGTCATCTTGGTTTTGACCCATCAGTACTTAACATGAATGCAGGACGGAGTCAGTCTTTCCAAGATGTATTTTGTTATCATTAACAGAGCCTATTTGGTCCTTTGGGCTGGTGACAGAAAGAATGATCCAATTCATTGGCTGGACATAGGATCTAGTGCTGTAGATCGTTCTGGGAAGTTGGCACAGAAGATGATTTGCCCTGTGAAGTGGCCATACAACCACTGCTTAAGTCCCTCCCTGGCCTTCTTTTTCTGCTCTGTAGTCCAGAAGCATTTCTTTAAAGCCAGAAAATCCGTAAATGTGAGCAGCATGTTGAACATGTCACCACCACTTCATCCTTATGGTGTTGTAATGTTGTTGTGAAAGCTGCCATGTTAACTGTAGGAATCCGCTCCAGCAGCTGTTCTTCAAAGCATTCTTCTATCAAAGAGATATATTCATTAAAAATAGGTGTGTAGGTGAATTTATTCTCTTCTCTGTCTTCAAATTCCTGGTAGTACTTGTCCATGAAATTTCTCTGTAACAACTGGAACTCATCATCCATGATGATGTTTTCTAAATATCCAAACACAGCATCAAATTCTGCATTAGGCCTGGCGCAGGGCAGGGGCTCACACCTGTAATCCCAGCACTCTGGGAGGCCGAGGCCAGTGGATTGCCTGAGCTCATGAGTTCGAAACCAGCCTGAACAAAAGCAAGATCCTATCGCTACTTAAAATAGAAAAACTGAGGCAAGGAGGATCGCTTGAGCCCAGGAGGTAGAGGTTGCTGTGAGCTATGATTCTACAGCACTCTATCCAGGGCAACAGTTTGAGACTATGTATTAAAAAAAAAAAAAATTCTGCGTAAGAGGCGGAGGAAAAGGACAGAGAGAAGCTATCTTCTTGGAAGGCATCCATCGTGTCTCCTGCCGCACCCACCCGTGCAGGCGACTAGGCCAGTTGGGGTCCTAACCAGTCCAGGGGCCCGGGGCGGGCCCAGCCTTCTCGCTGCTCCGCAAGGTCCCAGCCTGGATCCAGGGCACTGCAGTCAGCCGGCCCAGAGGGACCTTAGGGCCCCACCG